ACAGTGAGAGGCCCGCATACCGCAAAAGAAACAAAAAACAAAACAAAAAAACCCTTAGGTCAGCACCTCTCATATAGTATGTGCTCAATAAATATTAGCCATTATTTTAACACCTACTTCAGAGTGATATTGTAATAATATGTTGTATAAAAAAGGTATTTGAAATAACATAATAAGGTGGTAATATTGTATTCTTTTAAACTTGGGCAGATACCAAATTGGCAAATATTTTTTTACGATAATAACGCCTGGTGTTTGTTCAGGCTGTGGTGAACGGGCACCCGCATACCTCCAGAGAGAATGTAAATCTTTCAACATTTTTGGCACAGTGTACCCAAGTCTTAAATTGTTCATAATCTCTGATGAATAATTTCACTTGTAGGAATTTGTCCTGAACAAAGAATCAGAAGTGAATATAAAGATTTTTGTCCAAGGATGTTCATCACAGAATTACGTATAAGAATGAAAACTTGAAAAAAAAGTTTAGGGGCTTAGTTAAATAAATGCGGTTGCATTTCATATAATGATGCAATGTAACCTTAAAAAGATGTTTAGAATAATATTTAACGACCTGATAAAATACGGCATTTTGCAAGTGAAGGAAGCAGGCCACAAAATAACGTATGTAACATATATTCAACAAACTGCTACTGAATGCCAAGTTTGTGCCAGGCACTGGATACACACTTGGGAACACAATAGACTCAGTTTTTGGTCTCATACAGATTGACCCCAATTTACTTGTTTATTTATTTATTTTAACTTGATTTACTTTATTTACTTACTCATTTATTTTTGGCCACGTGGCAGGCAGGATCTTAGTTCCCTGACCAGGGATTGAACCCATGCCCCCTGCAGTGGAAGCGCAGAGTCTTAAGCATTGGACTGCCGGGGAAGTCCCCAATTTAGCTGGGAAACAATGTACATGTGTGTTATTATATACACAGAAAAACAAGGTATCTTCACGGTGGAATAACGGATGCTTTCCATATTTTTCCTTTATATTTTCCTGTAATTTCCTTTCTTTAAAAAAACAAAGAACCTGCATTACTTAAACAATCGGGGTGGGGGGGAAACTTACAATTTGTAAGAGAGAGCCTGGGCCTGGGCATCCCTGGGCGTGAGCTGGGTGTCACACGGGAGGGTGTGGCAGAGTCCAGAGAAGTCGGGAGGGAGAGACAGAGGCTTAAGCTGCACTGCTGCTGGTCTGCGACCCTGACCAGGCTGCTTCCAAGCCCAGCCCCACCATCAATAAAATGAACGGATCATTCCCCGGGTCATGAGGCCCAAGGGAAGCATGTCTATGTGCCTCTTACAAACGTGTGTGTGCTGTGCTGCAGAGATGCAAGTGGTCGCCATTACCTTAAGCAGGTGACTTCCTGGGTCTGGCCCTCCCTGTCCCCGTCTTGGAATGAGCAAAACGGGCCTCCAGCTCTGCAGGCCTGTGATGGGCGTACATAGGGGTCGCACACAGCGCCCACTCTCGTGAGAGATGCAATGGCACGCGCAGCAAACACTCTGGTGACAACAGGGGGAGAATGGTTTCACCTCCCTGCTTCCTCCCTCCCTCCCGCGAGCCCAGCATCCCTGCCCTTTGGCTCCCGGGCCTTTCCATCCTTCGTCCCACTGGACTGAGCGGGGGTCTTGATGGGGGCGGGGGTGGTGAGTAGCTTCCTGCAGGCCACCCTGCCAAGGCAGGGCAGCATTTAGACCCCATGAGCTCTGACAAACGAGATGTCCTCACCATGTCCGGAGTGACGGTGGGGCTGAGTCATCTCACCAAGCGTGGCTTCACCCACTCTGCCATTCCATGAACTCCCCAGATCACTCACCCAGGGGCCTGGGTGACAACACGGTGCCCTGAGAAAGGGCCCAAGAAAGCCCAGAATTAGTCACAAGTTCAAATCAGAGTCACACAGGCCCATGTGCCCAGCCTTTGCCCAAATGTTGACCTTTAAAAAACCCAGAGAGGGCTTCCCTGGTGGCGCAGTGGTTGAGAGTGCGCCTGCCGATGCAGGGGACACGGGTTCGTGCCCCGGTCCGGGAAGATCCCACATGCCGCGGAGCGGTTGGGCCCGTGAGCCGTGGCCGCTGAGCCTGCGCGTCCGGAGCCTGTGCTCCGCAAGGGGAGAGGCCACAACAGTGAGAGGCCCGCGTACCGAAAAAAAAAAAAAAAAAAACCTCAGGCAAGGGGAGGGGGCAGCCTCGGAAGGGGAGGGGCAAGGGCAGCCGTCTGGCCTGGACCGAGCTAATCCTGAGGGTGGGGCTCCTGTGATTTCTCATGTATGGCTGAGTCCCTTTGCTGTGCACCTAAAACTATCACAACGTCGTTAATCGGCTATACTCCAATACAAAATAGTTTAAAGAAAAGAACGTGATTTCCCTCCATCTGTGAGGTGCCTGAGTAAAATAGATAGAACCACCTCCATCCTTCAGATGAAGAACCAGAGGCTGGAGGGAGCTGGCAGAGATGCCCAAGGAAGGCCCCCGCCGGGACTGAGCCAGGTCAGGACCGGCTCTGTCTTCAGCTCCAGCACTGGGGCACTGTGACTGCTCTTTGTTCGCTGACCTTAAAAGAAGCTCGCAGAAAATTTCATGACAGAGACATGGTGGGGAAGGGGCTACCACTCCCTCGCTCCTACAGCCCTCTCCTGTGTGCCCTTTTTGTAGATCATAATACCATGCAACAGACCCAGCTTTTACGCTTTGCGTTATTTCTTGTCATTTCGGATGACGACGGGGTCCCGATGACCATTCCCTCCACGGGGGGTTCATGCGTGTCCCCTTCCCCACCAGACACTGGGGACACAGCCTCAAACCAAACAGACATACTCCCTTGGCTTATGGAGCTCGCATTCTCAAGGGAGAGACAACAAAAACTGAGAGAAACAGGACGGCTTCCCACTAGTTGAGAAGAGAGACGCCTATGGCGCTTAACTGGAGCTAGAGAAGGAAAAGCACAGAAGGTGGCTTTTACCCAAAGGACTCTGTGGTTCCTAATGTTTTGCTTCGACAACACCAAGGCTAACAATTATTTTATATCCTCCAGCCTTGAAGTGTGTGGGTGTTTATTTAACACAAGCAACTCTGTTACCCCTTTTTTCTTTTCACTTATCAGCATTTTCTAATCTCCCAGCAGCGGGAGGAAAATGCTGAGCTTTGATAACTGCTGTGCTGGGGGGAGATGGAGAAGTTTTCCGTCTGTCTGTCTGTCTTCAGGGAACTCAGTTCATCAGCAAGTCGGGAGAAGCAAGGTGACAGGGGTCCAGGTAGGGGCTCCGTCAGAACAGCCCAGAAAAGCGCTTCTGCTGTAAGCTGAGGTCTCATCATATGAAACGGTCATCTCTTCGCCTCGGAGGGCGATGAGGTGAGGATGGGGGGGAGCCCCGCTGTACCGAGGGCTTCAAGGTTAAAGTGTCTGGACTCGGTCCTGCCAGCCCGGCGACCCCACAGGCTGCAAGGCCAGCCTCCCTCGGGTGCGTGGGGAGGACGTGCCCAGGTGTGCTTCAGCGTGACCTCCCAGGGCCGCTGACAGGCGGGTTTGAGCCGCTCTGACCCATCAGCCCCAAAGACTGGACTCCACGCCTGCCCGGGGGTCTGGCGGAAAGCGGGGCCCTCAGAGAGAAATTCTGAGCTCCTTTCCGCAACGACTGACACTTCGTCAGGCCGAATCCTCTTAAAAGTAGAAACACTGAAATCTCAACCCCTCCAGAAACCTCAAACGACGTCACCGAGTCAGAAAATGGACACCCGCCACATTTGTACTGGATGGTCTCAAAAGCGGTAGGAGAAAAAGCCCTGTGCTGATCTGAGAATCACAATGACACATTTCCTCTTTGAAGTGACACCTGGCTGGCAGAGGACCTTAAATCTTTTATTTTTTTTTTTCTCATCTCTCTCTGAAACCTTCAAAATGTGAAGCATCCTTTAAAATAATGAGAATAAAAAGATATGCCGCCCTCCCGTGGGACTGCTGTGCCCACGGTGGGTTCAACTCTCTCGGTCCCTGACTTCACTCCAAATTCCGATCACTTTGAGGTCAACCTCAACTCCTGCGTTGAGTTTTGTCTGACCCAGTGTTCCATTCACCTCTGCTCAAGTAAAGACAGACACAGCTGTCAGGCGAGGGCAGCGAGAGTGTTTATTGAGAAAGGGGAACTCACACTGAAGGGCCTGGTGTCCGGGCTGGGGGAGAGAGAATCCAAACACCTGATGAGAGATGCCGGAACCCTCTGTCCAGAGGGAGGGTCCAGGATAACATCCAGGGTGAGTCCTGCCGCTTGTTGGGAGTGGGGAGAAGATACAGAACTGGGGCAGGCCCGGGCTTCTGGGGAAACTCAAGGGGAATGGCTGGGCGAGCCGACAGCAGGACTGGTTCCCACGCTTTGGCGAGCTTTGAAAATGAAGATCTGAACTTATGGTGACTAATGATTCAGCAAACTCTGCCACCAAGACCGCTGAGTATAAAGGGCTGTCGGTTTCATAGTCTGTAGGATCTTTTGGAAAGTGAGGGGCCAGAGGGTCTGGCTTGGTGGAGGTATTTCTCAGACGGCAATGGCGATTGTAGAGACCAAAGGTAACAGAGCCCAAGACAAGAGTGGCTTTTGGGGGGCTCTGGCCGGTGTTGCTATCCACGGGGCAGAGAAGGGAGGCCCACTTCCCTCTCCCCTACTCGGCGGACCCTGCGGTGTCCGGGCTGCTGTGGGCTCCATCTCGCAGGACCTTTCTTGGGCTAGAGACAAAGAGCCCAGGTGCCCACGGGGCCGCGCCGGAGAAGAGCCGGTCTCAGCCACCTGGCGTGGGGGGAGTTCGAAACGCTGAGGTCCTGGGAAAGCTGGTGAAGGAGAGCCGGGGGGTCTAGGCGGTGCTGGCGGAGCCGCTCTCCGCGCTCGGGAAGTCAGGTCCGGGGAAGGCACGTAGGGGGCTGGGGGCGACCCACCTCGCTATGGCTCCCGCCCCTCTCCGCGCGCCGCTGCCGCGCGCTCCTCGGGGCTGGCCCGCTATGGGCCCACGGCCGAGGAGGCGTTCGTCGTCTGGGCTCGGCCCGCACGGCGGGCCGGGCTCCGGAACGGGGAGCCGTAGACCTGGGAGAGCGAGGACGCCGAGCTGCCCCCGCGCGCCGCGCGCTCCGCGCGCCAGCAGGCCCCGCGCCGCCGCAGCTGCGCGCGGAACGAGCGGTCGAGCAGCAGGTAGATGAGCGGGTTGGCGCAGCTGTTGACGAAGGCCAGGCAGGTGGCGACGGAGAGGCCCCAGCGCAGCGCCAGCAGCAGGCGGCAGGGCAGCGGCAGCGCGCGCAGGCTCGCCAGGTGGAAGACGGCGCGCAGCGCGCAGAAGGGCAGCCAGGAGCCCACAAAGGCGCCCTCGACGGCGAAGATGATGCGCAACGAGCGGTTCCGGGCGCGGCCCAGGTGCGCCGGCCCGCGCAGGCGGCGCGACACGCGGCAGTAAGATGAAAAAATTGAGCCTTGGAGAGTTCATGTAACTTGCCTTAAAGACTTGTGTTATTACCCCCACTTTATAGATGGGAACTCAAACACCAAGGTTTGTTGAATTGCCGAGGTCACGCCCAGGGTAGGACTTAAGCCCATATCCTTGTGACTTAAGCCCATATCCGCCGGGTGCGGCGGGCGCGCGCGGCCAGCGGGCGGCCCACGGCCAGGTAGCGGTCCACGCTGAGGCCGGCGAGCAGCAGGGCGCCCGCGCAGCGCGTGCCGGCCACGGCGAAGCTGCTGAGCTTGCACAGGCCCTCGCCGAAGGGCCAGAGGCCACCCCGCGCCGCCGCCGCGGCCCACAGCGGCAGCGTGAGCACGAAGCCCAGGTCGGCGGCCGCCAGGTGCTGCACGAAGGTGTCCACGAGCCGCCGCGGGCCGCGTCGCCCGACCAGCAGCCACAGCACGAAAGCGTTGCCCGGCAGGCCCACGGCGAAGGCCGCCAGGTAGAGCGCGGGGATGTAGGCGTAGCCGTAGGGCAGGTCCCGGGCCGCGCACAGCTCCTCCTCCAGCTCCAGCTCCTCCGGGGCGCCCGACCCTGAGTAGTCCCAGGACGCCGTCCCCGGGCTGGGACTCCAGGGCTCGGTGGGGCGCATGGCCGGCGAGGCCCGGACGGACGCGGCGTCGAGAGGTAGGGTGGCTCTTCACGGCCGGTGCCCAGCACCTCCCTTCCTGTCACCCACCCCGGGCCGAGGCGACTGGGTGGGCAGGAAGGGGTGGGGGAGGAGGGGGGAGGGGCAGGGGGAGGGGAGTTATGACTCCAGCAGGCCAGAGCCGCCTAGGAGTTTGCCCCCGAGGCGGCGGGGCGGGGGGCTTCCCAGTTGGATCCTTGGAGGAAAAGTCCCCAGGGCTGGGACGCCGCCCTGCCTCCCTTGGGAGCCTAGCCTGTCCCTCTCCGTAAGTCGCTCGGTTTCCTTGTTCATGAGCCAAGAATGGCAACCGTCTCAGGAGGCTGGTGGCCGGTTTAAGAGGCGCTCAGAGCCCCAGGCGGTCCTCATCCCCGCTTGGACCCCGCTCCCCGCTGCTGTCTGTCTCTGGGAGGAGACGGGACCAGTGGTGAGGATTTCATCTGGGGAGGAGCCTCCCGCCGCGGTTCCCCTGCCTTCTAGGAAAGAGGGGTTCTGCCATCTGTGCACAGCGGGCATGTTGCGGGGAGCCTGCCCTTGGGGGGCCAACCTACTATCAGGGACTGGCCACCAGGCCCTCAAATGGTGTTAGCTCCCTGAGATGCTGGGCCGCGTGCCTTAGCCCAAAGAGTGGCTTTTCTGACCAACTCAGGTTCCCAGGGAGCCACAAGGGAGGCTTTGACCCTGGAGAGGGAGGGTCAGACTGTCCAGATGAAAGGAGCAGAGCCTGGAATCCAAATCCCAGCTCTTCCCCACCTTCCTGCCTCGGCAAAACCTACCTGTTAAGCCAGACACAGATGTAAGTTCAGTACGAAAGATGACACGAGACGGTACCTGACTCAGCAGCAGATCAGTTGTCCTAAATCAGGAGTCAGGAGCTTAGAAGGAGGGCGAGATCCCTCGTGGACTGAGAGAGGTGGGGAAGGATACCCGGAGAAGGGTGGGCGTTGAAGCCTGGCCTTGAAGGAGGCAGTGGGGCCAGGGAGGGGATGGGGAAGGGTGCGCGGGGATGCTGGACGACTCCAGTTAGGCCCCAGCTCTTCTTAGCAGACTTGCTCCCAGGAGCTGCTGTGTAGCAACTGATGTGACAGTGTGTGTGTCCCCCCAGAGCCCCCGCCCCATCGTCACCAGGAATGAACGAACTGTTGGGCCATCTGGCGTTAAAAATTTGAGGTGGATCATTTATCCATTTTATAGCATACCGTCCTGTTACAGCAAGCTCCTCCGTGTGCAAGGCCCTGTTTGGGCGTCGCAGAGATGCCGTTCTTGACCTTCGAGGGTCCCTGATTAGGAGGCAAGGGAGACAGATCCATGTGCAGGACGTGCGGTGGCCGGTGTGCTAGAGGTCAGATGGCCTGGAGTGAATGTTAGCAAAGTCCCCCTGGAGCTCAGACGGGAGGGAGCAGCTGCCTCTGATGGGAAGAGTCAGAAATCTTTCCCGGCACCTGAGGTCAGTTCCAGAAAGGAGCTGAAAGGTGAATTCTTCGAGCAGCAGAGCCCAGGTGGGAGGAGGGTGGCAGGAGGGGACGCAGGAGAGGCAGCAGGGGACTTGGATGTCACCAGTAGGAGCCCCCGGACATGTTGAGGAGGGCAGTCCCCCCGTCTGCTTTGCACAGGTCAGTGCAGAACTGTGGACTGGACGGGGAGAAGCTCCAGCCGGGGGACCCCACCGTGGGCTGTTGTCATTGTCTGTGTTGGGGAGAGGCAGGGTCGGACATAGGGAACTGGAGGAGGGGACAGAAAGGAGAGAATTGTGGCATCGAGGACCTCAGCGCAGAGTCAGCTGGGCCTGGACAGCCAGTGGGGAACGCCACGGGCACTGCCCGTCCACTGAGGTCGGGGCCACGGAGAGGCTTGTGTGTGCATTCCGTTTCATGTTGATTTGAGGTGGGGTGATGGAATAATTCTTGATCCACGGCAGGCACTTCTGAGAGTGAAAGAAGCATTATCACGATCGACCTGGGCCATCATCCTGGCCCGTTCTGCGCAAACTGGGACATGAGGTCACCCTAGCTGTGGCCCCTCTGGTCCATGGAGATCCCCAGGGGTGGCAAAGCCTAAGGAGCGGTGGGCGCGCGTGTCCACGCCGTTCCGGTCAGGAATTTCTCTCCTGGGCCAGTTACACGACGGGAAAGGCAGGCAAGGGAAGAGGCCGGGGAATGGATGGCTCTGGCCCAGCCCTCCACGGCGTCCCAGCCCCCAAGCCTGGGTTTCTCCTGAAGACCCACATACAGCGTGGACACCTGAGGGGCCACGGGAGATGTGGAGCCGTTTCTCTGATGATTGATCACGTGTTTGCTGGCGAGGGACGCTCTCGTCCTGGAGGGCCTGGGGGGCCACAGCCTCCTTCCCCGGAAGGCCAGCCGAGGTGGTGCTGCCTTGCAGGAGCCCGGGACAGTCAGGGACAGGCCCAGGGCTGCCCGCGCGCCTCTCAGCCTGGGGCATAGAAGGGGCGTGAATCTGAAAGCTCGAGATGAACGGCCGGAAACCTCCAGGCCTTTGCCCTCCAGGGCAAAGAGACCAAGAGGGTCATGGAGGCAGGGGGTGGAGGGGAGGCAGAGTGGGCTGTTTATTAAAAACACAGAGATTGTTGTTTCCTGGGCTGTGGTCTTGTGGTCCCGAGCACATGGCAGATTTCCTCTGCCAGGGCCTGGGCGTTGGGCCTTTCCGCGTGTCTCTTGGTGGCAGGAAGCAGCTCGGGCCAGAGCTGGGGGCGCCGCTCCGGGCCTGGCCTGCCACGTGTCCAGCCTGGCTTCAGTGACTAAGGCCAACTCCATGACACTGGTCTCTCCTCCCCTCTTCAGGGGGACACCCCGCAGGGTTAGAAACAGTCCATTAGTGGAAACTCATCGCGATCAGCTGAGAATCCAGGCCACTGCTGATGCGTGTCAACACAGCAGAGAGGAAATGGTCCTCCCTCTCTCCATCCCGCCCCGGGGGCCTTCCTACGCCAGCGGGCCCTCCTCCTTCTGGACGGCTGGAGCCCGGGTGGCCTGGTCACCTGGGTCAGCCTCACCCTGCCCGTGGGATTATCAGCTCCTGGGGTGAGGGAGGCTCGCCATCACCGCGACTGGTACAAGCCTGAGATCAGAGGAGAGAGATACTTAATAGGTAAATATCCAATGCTTTGAACTAGATGGCTTCCAGGAGTATTTTTATTTCTGGCTGTATATTTAAGCTCTTACCACTTTCCCCCTCAATGTTAATTTTTCTGTACAAATAATCATCTTAAGTCTTTCAGAAAAATTTTGAAAACTATCTCGCCTTTTTCATCATTAAAACCACAGTCACGTCGCACAACCTGGAATAAGAAAAGGCGTCCCAGCCCTCGTGAAGCATGACGTGGTGAGTTTCTTTCCTACCAGTGAAGGACATTTTCAAAAGTGGAGAATTCGTCTGTAATCCCATTATTGTTGGGTTTTGTTTTGTCAACATTCCATTTCAGACGTTCTCCACGTACATATATTTTACGCAACTGTTTGAGAGGCATGTATGTGCCCTGTTCTATAGTCTGCTTTGCTCAATTCATGCAAATTCACATTTTTCTATGTTGCTGACTTTTCTAATCCCTTAATTTTGGACATTTAGGTTGTTTGCAGTGATTTTTGCTGTTATAGAGATTTGTAATGAGTAACTGCACTTATGGCTTTTTTCTTCTTTCACACTGTTTTCAGGGTATAAATGCCCTCGTGAAGGTCAAAGGCTTTGAGCATTTTCTTGGCTTGATACAGATGCTTGCAGTGATCAGTAATTATCTGGCATTGTAGGAGGGTACGGGTTCAGTGCAATCTTGTTAGAGATATTCATCAGTAAAGTATATTTTTCCACTTTAATAGGTAATGAGGTCAAATGATACCTCATTTTAATCTACATTTCTTTGAAAACAATAAGACTGAAAATCTTTCTAGATGTAATTCCTCTTATGTGAACTGCCTAATTACATCTTTCAGACATTTATCTATTATAATCTTTTGTATTTCTTATTAATGTGTATGAACTATTTTATTTAGGGTAAACCATTGTCCCATTTGGTTCAAATATTTTTCCAGACCTTTTTCTTAGCGATTTTTAATTTTTTGTTTTACATTTCCATAGTCATTTGTTGCTTTTAGCAGTTTCAGAGTTTAGGATGTTATTTTGTCTTTGATGACCTGAAAACATTCAATTGTATTCTTGTTAAAATTTTGTATCTTTTTTTAATCCACCTAGAGTGTAATCATTCTTTTTAGATTTCTGTCGAATTTTCCCAACACCATTAAATTAAAAATATTTTTAAAAACCCTGCTGTGTTGTGATGTCAAGTTCATTATGTACACACGCCTCACACGCTGTGTCCTAGTGTCTGCTTCTGGCCAGTGAACAAACAGGTCAGATTGTTACTGAGCTGAGTTTGGCTCCCACGTCAGTTTTATAACTTGACAGTTGCGTGCAGCTGGGCTCCAGTTCCCGTGCCTTAGAGCGGGCGGGAGAGGGTCTCCCTGAGCAGGTGAGGATCACATCAGAGAGCCCTGGGGAAGGCCCCCCTCCAGCAGGGTCTGAGCAGGGGGGTCAAGCGCTCCCCCCAACCCGGAGCTGTCAGGCTCAGCTTCCCCCAGCCCCATCCTCTTCTCTTTGCTTTCTGTGCACACAGTGGGTGGTGGGTAATGATCTGGAATTGCTCTGGGAACCTACAAGGGGATCATCGCCATCTGGGGGCTTCTAGACCCGACCACCACAGGCCCCTGGGCCTGGGCTCGTGGGTGATGAACTCCACGGGGTGAGGGGGCTTCTGCTGCAGATGCTGACAGGGCTGAGGGCACAGACAGGTGGCGTTTTGCCAGTTCTGCGGTCGACGGGTTAACGGCCCATGTGTGTACCTGTGTGTGCACTGCGTGTGCACGTGTGTGCATCCGAGCATGTGTGCCTGTGTGCGTGTGCAGGGCAGGGAGGGGTGTCCAGGGAAGGAAGGCAGCGGTCCTGCCCCTGCCCTG